TGTTGCATATACATATTACTGGTCGTCGAAGCGCATGTCTTCCAATTGCAGTTACAGCTTTACACAAATAATGAATAGATTGTGTAGGTGCGCCATCTATTTCATCCAAAATAAGGCAGTTTGGTTTAGAATCCTGGAAAAAAATTTTCATAATGCACCAATTCCAATGACATTTCAAAAAAAAGGCAATTTTTCTTTAAAGAAAAACTCATCCTTACAGCATCCAGAGTTCTCGTAGTTCTTAAAGCATCTTCAAAGCACTTTTTGAAATCTGCAGTATTCCGCTCATCACTGAAAGGATGGGAAAAAATATCAAAAGTATAATACACATTCTGCAGTGTAGCGGAAATCTTAAAGATGAAATCGAGCCGAACGTTTTGAAGAATATCAGCAACCAGTCTAATGAAACAAAGAATTTTCGGGAAAACTTACAAATTGAAGAAGATAAGTAGAAGGATGAAAGAACTCTGCAACAATGATGTCAGAAAATTAAATAAATTTACCTAGCATTCAAACTGACTACTCGATATCCGACATGTTGTGCTACCAAAGTTGCTAGTGTAGTTTTACCAGTACCAGCAGGTCCAGCTAGGAGCACTACCTAAATACATTTCTCTGAATGCTTTTTCAGATGCACTTGAAAAAATTAATATATATAATGTTTCCTACGAAAAAAATCCGTACTTTATGCGACGGGCGCCTTGGTTTTTCATTGCTCAAGATGAGTTGTTGTTGATTTGACGCGTCTTTCAAGACGATATCCGAAACAACCTTATGAAAGACACACTCGTCCCACAGTCTTAACCAATTTAGCAACAAACGATTCACAGTCTAAAATTCATTTCTTCTTGGCAAATCCCCTAAAATATTACCAGCATAGTCCGCTGAAGGTTTGCGGAGATCTAGACGTAAATATGATTAACAATAGGAAAGAAAAATAGAAATACCTCATCACTAATGAGATCAGCATAAGTATGCGGAGCATATTTCTCAACCCACAAGTTATCTTGGATGAACGCAGACCCTTCTTCCGTATCTTCGGAAACAATGCTAGGAACCTCAAAATCAAATCCAGAATTTAACACTTTTTCGGTGAAACCAAACTTCAAAGTACCAATTCGTGATTTATCACCGCCACCGTTATGAACTGTTTGCTCAGCACTTCTTAACACTATATAGAATCTGAAAATAGCTTCCAACCTAAAATAAAACCTATATACCTTTCTAAATCCTAATTCAAGATTTCCAATAATTGTTGGAAAAATTCCTTCCGAAAAACTATTTAAAAAACCTTTAAAATCTTTAACGTTGTTGTATGAAGATTTTCAATTAATCAGTCTGACCTTTGCAGTTCCGTAGGATCTGTAAAACCAATCCATGGTGCACCACTACGTGGTGGATATAACAACACTTCGCTTTTTTTCGATCCTAATGACACATTTTGTTCTGTCTTTTCATCTGTTTGTAGGTCTGTTAAGCGACGCCTTTTTCGAGCCTGCAAACGCTACAGAAACTTAGATTATACATTCTGCATGATGAAATTTTGATTCTGGCACCAACATAACGTAGTGAGATAAGTTTTGTTATATGATTACCCGGAAAATAATATACGTTTTAAAAAAGCGCTCAAAAAATTTAAAAGCATTTGAACCTCTGTACTACCATGTCCAAGGCAATTAATTCTGAGATGTTCCAACTAACCCATGAAATGCGTTGTGTAAGACGTTCAACCATTTCATCGCCAATATTTTTTCGTTCCACATCGCGTTCTTTCTCATAATTATCGCAGTTTACTCGCATATGCCAATCTGTAAATACTCACAAGTTCATTATCAATAATTCGACCAGAAAGTTAGAGCAACTTTGTTACAAATTTAATCTCAAATCCATTCAAAATAAGTAGCACCCTCAAGATTGTCCAATCAACAACTGCACTGATTTACTTAATAACATGATCAGATATAGGAAATAGATCTGCGAATAAATCAGCAAAACACGGACCATAAAAAATTCATTTCAATTCAGAAGCTCTCAAGGATTACTACATATTCATACCAACATGCCAGTCATGCTAAAACGCGAGCAAGGGAGAAATCATACCAAGTGCATCACAGTTATCAGGTGCCGATATCCGTTTTGGCAGTCCCCTTACGATGTCGTTCAAAATATTCACAGACGAATTACTTTGCGCATCATTTTTTCTGCAGAAAAAATTTTTATGAGAACAGAAAGTTCTACAGCTATGAATCAGGCAACCATTATTACATCATATAATGGTAAAATAATAAAAAAAAACATACACATACACAACTAACCCATAATTCAAGGAACTGTCTGCAAAATCTGCAATCTCATTATAAACATCTGGATCCATCAGTTCAATCCTGAATCAAACAAAGAAAACATAGTTCAACTTGCACTTACGACCCAAACAAGCCATGAACCACTCAAGAATTTAGCTAGCGCTATTCCATTTTCCTCTCCAACCCACAAATACTTCTCCCAACAAACCATTTGCAGGCTAAATTAAGCAACTTCTGACTTAAACTTTTAAACAGATATTTCTCGAAAAATGCATGCGAAAAAGAACAAGCTCCCATGTATTTGGACGGAGATCCTGTACATCAGTGATTTGCATATCAGACCACTTGTGATTTGCATACCAGATCACTTGTGATTTGCATGCCAGACTAACTTCAACGAAAAATATGTATTTGGAAGAAAACATTAGTAAAGTCATTACAGATACACAAAACTGAAAAGATAATATAATATAATATAATATAATATAATAATAATAATAATAATAATAATAATAATAATAAATAACAATAATAATGAAGATAATAATACTTCCAGAACTGTATCACGCATTTAGCATGCATAACATCGAGCAAATCATCGCAGAGGAACAACGTACAATTTCCTTTTCTTTGTAACAATTTTTTCATGTCACATATGAGAGAATAAGAACAACTGCGATATAGAAAAAATAAAAAAAGAAAAGAAATAAATAGATAATAAAAACAATACAATTAAGAAAAACGATGTGCAAGAAAAGAACTGACAATAAACACGAATAAACAAACAGAATTGGGTGGGACGATAAACAATAAACAAAAAGAAGAGAGAAAGTTGGATCACAGCGCATTACGGCTCGGAGGAAAACAAACAGAACTACATATGCATTGGTAAATATCTGACCGGGTGAATGGACACTAATAATTCTGCCAGTCACCGTGATACATAATAATGCGGTCACATAAGCTACAACTACAACGTAGACATTTTTTGATCTGGATTTTAGGAATTTTACTGAATTCTCCTTAAAATCCTACAAATTCCACTGAATTCCTTATTCAACTTTAACTTTCCAAATGTTTCAAATGACTAACTGAAAAGGCCCTTGATACCTTCAAAAACAAATCAAGTTACCGAACCTGAAACTAGAATGACTCCCAGTATGACATGGGAGGAGATAAATCAACAGTTGGATTATGAAAATAGTATACTAGCAATTAAGGGTCATTAGAGTAAAGAATGAATGGTTAGTGAAAACTGGTACTATGCTCAATGTCAAATGATAAATACTTAAATCCTACCCGTTCCAAATATTTTTATAGTGATAACTATCGAACGATTTAGCTATGTAGACTGCAGCTAAATGAGCTACTGTTACAACACTTTCCACAGAAGTAACCAGTCAATTACATAAAAGGCTGCATAAGACAACTATACACTAACGAAATAAAATACAAAAAACTGGATAAATTTTCTAAGCTGATGTGATAAATGAATCCAAACTGTCCAATTCAAAATTTTTAGAATCATAAAGACATCCTGCAAACCGCCCCTGCGCAGAAATACTAAGATTTGTGAAAGAAACCCAGACACCCTAGTTGTAAACAAGACACATTTAAAGAAAGAGATAAGAACCGCCCTGGAAATTATTAGTTCAAACATACTAGAATTATACTGGAAATATCCTAGTAACTCTCCTCGTCGAAAGCACAACGCATCATAGGAATTCCAAAAGGATATAGGCGTTCTAGAACTTTCACCTAAAGAAAAATGAATAAGAATGAAAGTTAAGAACCAAGAAATACAAAACCGAAGAATTCATGCAGGAAAAATATCAAGAAATTAAAATTTTACGGGGCAATTATTAAATAATAAACCTAAAGTGAATGAGAAAAAATACAGTCATTACGGCGAGTAGATTCCTTATTGTAAGAGAATATTAAATACATGTATGTTTGAAAATGACATTTAAAAATCTTACATCTTTGAACCCTGCATCCGGGGTGGATAAAACATATTAAGATAAGTAACATGTGTTACAAAAATGAATTACCACGTGAAAAAAAATATAAGGCATACAGTGGTGCCCCACATCTATAATAACAAATGGGGAAGTTCTAACTAGCAAAAGACTGAAAATACGAAAAAACTAAAGAACCTAGCAAAATTTGTTGCAAGTCAAAAGCACCAAATCTTGCTTTCAATATATAAGAGTGAATTGGAGTATATGCTCTTGCTAATTGTTTTCGAAGAGCAATTTACAGTAATCAGAAAGCTGAGGAGTGATGGTGAAAAACGAATCAAGTGAGGCACTAATATTAATACAAAAGATCCCGGTTGAACTTGAAATACGAGAAAAAAAAAAGACTGGAGGACAGAAACAAAAAAAAATGTGAAGGTGCTAAAGGGCTTAAGGAACTTTTCAGATGAATACACTTCTGATTAAATCAGCTTTAGTACAGTTCATATCTTTTTAAAGGTATTTCAAAAAAAGAAAAAAGGAACTGGTGCCTCCAACTGTAGACAAAACTTAGCTCATTATCATGGTGGAAGATCACTGAGCAAATGTCATCTGAGACTTCACACACATAAAAAAAAAAAAGTCAGATTAGGAATCGCATGTGCACACAATGGTTAAGATTTGCTTTGCTTGACTGATTGATAATCGCTGGCTAATGGAGGGAGTTTACCAATAAGCACTAATGTCGACCGTGTTCGCTTGACAGCCGGTACTCACTACCATGTCGCAATCCGCGAGATCCTCCTCCTCCGCCACCACGTCCACCACCAGAGCCATTACGCACATTAACTCCGCCTCGTGCTAAGGCTGAAAACTTGTATTATTTTTCATTCAAATATCAATGATGAGGAAAGCCAGAACAACTTCCTGTAAAAAGCAAACTTCAACATTAACCGATTTTGAAAACCATCTCCACCTTCCTGAAACCTCCTCTAATCTATGTATACGAAAATCACATTGGACATTTTTAAGAACGACTGAGGATCAGTTAAATCCAGAGCAACGTGTAACCTTGCGATGGACCTCTGTGTATAAACGGACTACGTGCGTTCATCTGTCCACCCTTCTGCTCCGAAAGAGTAGCTTCTCCATCGAACCCAAGTGAGTCAATTTTCAGATGTATAAGTGAAAGCGACCGTTCCTGAAAAGTTTATAATTCACATGCTGTAAACATTTCGTGACATAAAAAACCCCCTTATTTCCTGTAAAAAAAGTTTTTTAAAGATTCTACTTATTCATCTTCCATAGCTTATGTTTAAATTAGTTATTCCCACTGAATTAAGGAAGCTAACTTAAAGGTAATTTTAAATGACCTTTCTTGCAGCATTAAATGCATTTCTTGCACCCTCCGCTGTTCTCATAACCACAAAAGCAAAAACTGTTCGTTGTGGATCCGCAGAATCCAGCACACGACGGGGAACATTTACTGCAGCAACATGTCCAAATTCTAAAGAAAACCAATGATATGAAAATAAAATCTATGATGTGCCTTAAAATTAAGCTTGAAGAATTACGAATACAAATCATTATAACGTGGGCAAAGCTTACTTTCAAACTCGAAACGTATATCTCTTTCGATTGCAGCTGCGCTTTCTGGAACAATATTGCGAGTTATGCCGCCCACATATAGTCGACAATTCTCTTCTATAAAGCTTTAAATTTACAATATGTAAATAAAAAGTTACAAAATCTCCCATTTACTAACATGTTAATTATATACCGAAATTTGCAGGAAGGCTTGTGTTATTTGAAGCAGAGATCAGAGTTTGATTCTGTATTATAGGCAATCGCACTGCTGGCTGCGCTGCCACCTGAGTCATATTCTGCAACTGGATATCCATAGTTACTGCAGCCGCTTGATTACCACCGACCAATTTAGCCCATGTTTTCGGTGTTGAATCAACTGTAAGCGAATTCGAATCCGTCTATAAACGAATTCTATTATGCAATGCTGAATTTTCCATTCTGTGTTTAACTGTTGCTATGAGAACACATAAAAAATGCTGAAATGAAATTTAAATTTCGAGATAATACAAAATCATGACTTCATTACTAATAACTTACGTGTGCCTCTTCAGTGGAACTGTCATCTGATTTGCTACTAACTATATCATTCAACTGATGCTTTGCATCATGAACAACAGTATTTGCATTCATTGCTTGAATGGGTTCAAGAATCTGCTCTTTCTTCAAGTTATCAGATAATTGATCAGTAGTCTCATCTTCTGAAAATTTCCAAAATTAATTACATCCTTTCAAATGTATAACCCACTTCCTTTACGAAATAGCATTCAAAGAAGAGGGCCACAGAACTTCTTTTGCATATCAACTCTACTGTTCTAGGTCAGATGGTTGATTGTTATAGTTTCATCCTTATGACAGAAACTGTAGAAATAAAAAAAAAAAGAACGAAAATGTCTAAAACCATTACCTTACACATAAAAAAAAAAAAAAAAAAAAAAAAACTCAAGCAACAAACGGTGGATGCAACCAATCTAACCAAAAATTTGGTGAATGAAATATACAGTGAAATTATAATCACTAACGATTGTGGCTTGTGGAAAGGGCCTGAGTATGACCATTAATTCCACTAGCATCACCATTTGCTGCAACATTCTCCTCGGTAGCAATTTGAGTTTGGATATCTGAAAAGAAAGCTATGTATCATTTCCTTCCAACAAGATATTAAATTTGACTTCTGATCTATTGTTGCTGACCACTGAAGGAGTTTCATTAATGATGAATTATGAATTCAGCAGTCTAACTGTCAAGCTCGCATTACACATTGAAAAACTTACGCAAAAAAAAAAAAAAAAAAAAAAAAAAAACCAGAAGATGTAACATGACATGGATCAACTAAAAACACCGCGTAAAATAAGACTCTATTGAGCTTGAAAAAAAACTTCGGTTTTTAATCTTCAAATATCCTTCATTATATTGATTGTTTAGACTTGTGGTAGTTTTGGACTTCAAGTTTCATATGTAAATTTTGTGATTGGCCGGGAATAGGTACCACATAGGCTTTATGCTTTTCTGACAAGTGCATCAAACTACAATGCCATCAAAAAAAAAAAAAAAAAAAAACCGCTCTTCTGCGACTGAATAACAGCATCACCGAAGGCCCGATCAAGCCACTGGAAAACATCATTGTGGACATAGTATTTCTTTGGGGTTTGCGGGCAGAGAATAAACGTTTGCAAGAAACGCCTTCCGGGATTATCGCCAATTGAAAGCTCGCCACAAACCTTTAAAATATTTCACTCAGTGATCAAATCATTCAGATCAAAAGACAAAAGCAGCTTTAAAAAAAAATGCTCAGTACTCAATGTTCAATTTTTATAAAAAGTTCGACTTTGCCATTTCTACTTTAAAGTTTTATACAAACAAAAAAATCATTCCTAAGAATTCCATGACTTACTTGTATAACTAAGCCATTGTTCATTGTGGCAGTGCCACTGACAGTATAAATTCGTGCTTTGCAGTCAATAAAAGCCAAGCGTTCGATTGCTTTTTGTATTTTCTGGAAATTAAATAACCAGTAACTGTGAAAACTGCATTCAATAACAATCCACATATTATAAAGAACATGTTCCTTAAAGGATATTTAAGAACTATGAATTATAACCTGCTGTCCCTGAACAGGCTGATCCGTATCGTGAACAAAATATGATTCATGGCTGTAAAAGCGGAAAACGTCTTGTGGCCTCTCTGATAGCATCGTGTAGTACTGACGAACAAATTCACGCCCAATTTCTAAAAGTGTATATTAGTTAGAAATCAAAGTAAGCAGGTGTAGAAATCCGGATAATTTGGAATTAAAAATTATTTTTACTAAATAATTTTTAATCCTTTTTTTTTATAAATAATTTGGACTTAAAAAAAAAAATTTTCTCCGTTATCCATTATTTATGACATCAAATTTCTAACAGCATAAAATATGATGCATGTTTTTTTCTTAGAAGTGGGTTGGACATAAATTATATTCTTTATCATATCCCGGATGTCCCATGTACTTTTTTAAATATTACAAACCAGTTGAGTTAACAATGCAACCACGAAAATTAGATAATCTAAATTATCAACTGCCTAACGAACGAAATGAATGAACTCCAACGACGGATAGTGTTCAGTCTTATCTATCACTTCATAGTTCCCATAAACAACTACGTATGATGTTTCAACAATCGGTGTAGGAATCACTGTATTGTTAACATTATGAAATATTTACAGATTCAGACAAATACATGACCTTTGGGCGATGGTTGCGGTGTTTTGGCAACTTCATTAGCACGGCCATTCATAACATCACCAACTCCCTCCATCTTCATATTGGATGCGAACGACCGCTGCAAACACGCGATTCCTGTGTTAATAATTATGAAGCATGCTTTTCCCGATCTTATAAACTAGCGCAACATGACGAGTTCTCAACGAATGGAATGAGATTAATAAGAAATTCCTGACTTCATGAAAACTCACTCCCATTAGTGCCAATAGAAATTAGAAATGTCTAATCTTAAAGAAAAACGGAGAATACATCGATGAATAGCAAGGAAAGTTTGGACGGTAATACTAACCATTATACAACAATGAATACGCTACCCCGTCACGCAGTAGTACATACAGTCTGATTCTTTCACCACACTAAGATAAAAATTTGATTCTGCTATAGTATTTAACGTAGTACACTAAATGAAGTGTACAATGTTCTGCAATAAGTCTATTTTTTATCTTAGATTGGTTTGCTTTCTAAACCGCATTACCACACAGCAATTATCTACCAAACATAAAAAATGTTGTAAACCGTCCAACCCAGTGGAATTTCTCCCTTACTACGCTTATGAAAAGCAACATGGTTAGCATGGCTATGAAACGATGGAATGATCGAAATACGATCCAACCAGCCACCCCATTATTATTCCTTTGCTTAACTGTCCACGGATATTTCGGTTTTGACCTTCTCTATGTGAAGTACTGCTTGGTTTTACAATTCAAAGACAACAGATGCCATACATTATATAGTACTCAAAATTAACAAACGCGCGGGAAAAGATGAAATGATGATGAAAACATTGCATAAACATATGATGACAGTACGTCTTGAGTAGAAAAGACCTTAAGTAACATAATGTCGCAAATATCCCCAAGAACTGAATAAACCAAGGGCTATCATTTATAGATCAAGGAATTCCAATCAATAGCCACGCAATTAAAACATAGTCAAAGTGAATTCCATATTCAGGAAATTAGGTTAATAAACAGACAGTTAAACTTGGCATAACCGTTGTCGATATCTGACAGTGTGCATTTCTGTCTCAAGGTTACTCCTGGGACAGAAATGCGATTTATATTCAGATGCTAACAAAGTCACTTCCAGTCGATTAGCAGTAACATGAAACGAGTTGCGCAATACAAGCCCATCTTCTGCATTTTTTAGCTTTAGTTCATATTATTAAAGCGCTCGTTCAAAATGAAACTATAATGATCAACATACTCACCTTATATATAGAACTTCTTGACAATACATAGTAAAATCACACAGAAGCCAACAGAGTGAAATGAACACAAGATACGGAACTAATTATACAGACTCTCAAAGCACTTATACAAGAGGCTGCTGTACCTGGAACTACTCATTACATAACGCTCTGGGAACGATGAACACGCAATACTACGCAATCACGCAGAAGAAATGAAACTAATAAACTACATGGACAGTACAAAGACAACGACCACGCAGCGCCCAGACCCACCTACTAACCTCGCATCCCATTTCGAATGGACCCACAAGTAAACCAATGGAAAACGCGGCCCGTCCTAAAATACGATAACGACGATGTGCACCATGGAATCCCCAACAATTCCAGAAATTACTCTTTTGCCACTTGTTTCGTCAGAGAGATAAGAAATGCAATGAATAATGCGACAGGAAGATGCCTTACAATTTATGCATGACTCATTGGAATTCTGTATTCAATACTTGCTTCTAACCATTTAACAAGCCAGCTACAAAAAATGATATCCGGAGTGTAACTTTAAAAAGTGGTTATGTTGCAAGAAAATTTCGCTTCTTCACTTTCTACGCAGTAAAGACATTTCGGCGCAGATATGAAGAACAGGGATCAGTAGTTGACTAAGTTAGGATCCATATCGCTGTTGTCTGTGTTAAGGCATTCGCTGCCTTAAAGCTATAAATAGTCTAACGTGTGCAGTCCACTTTACTCCTATCTGAAAGATCCCAGAATCATGTTTACAATATTGCGTTCGGAATCATGTCTTGAAGTGCAACGTTGTTACGTTTTGAAGTACAGCATCGTCGCTTTTTGAAGCGCAGTGTTGTTGGTCCAATTATCAACATTATGTCATATTCTGAAGTATAAACACATAGCAAGCACTGGAATTTCACAAGTGACTAAGAAGGGAGAAAATAAAGGCATCGTTTTTATTAAAGGAAACATTATGTCGTTCATTTCTGGAAATCATTTTTCCAGAATATCATGGAACTCTTCTTCAAATTCCCTTATCTCGTACTCTCATCCATACCTATTACCCTTGAATTAATCCATCATATCGAAAATGATAAAAAGTGAAAACTCAATTACCAGGAATTCCAACAAGACACACCAGCAGAATTTAAAATCATTTATGAATCTTACGACGGTCGCAAATTGATCCAGAACCTGTGGAGTCCCCAATAATACACAACGCCCGCCTCCATCCCACGATTCCATCTACCAAAAAAAAAGAATTTATAAGAATTCCGTTGGGGACTATCAGAGTGATATCAAGCGTTAGTTAACATCAGCCAAATTACTTCTTTCTTCGACACATTCAGTAATATTATCCTTTCGATACAAGATTTCTAAATTAATGAAATTAAAGGTTCGGGTTTCAGCTGTTGTAGTATGACAGGAATGCGATGCCCATACGCTATCCTGACAGCTTGCTCACAGTCTCATGCATTTGAAGAAAGGCGTTTTACAGTTCCAAATTCAGAAGAAGAGGCAATAAAGATTGGACGATCAGTTGCACGATGGAAACCTAGCTCAGATAATGCTATTTTTGATTGCAAGGTTAATGACAGACTATTCCGCTCCGTTTTATTTTTCCAAATAATTGTGAGATTTCTACCTGTCTGCTATTATCGAAGTTATTTTGTCAAGATTTACAAATTCCACTTCCTGATATTTTTCAAAACTCGGTCTTTTTTTTTTTCATTAATTATGCAGATATTTAAGGTGTTGTCAAGAAATCATGCTGTCTTATGGCATGAGGAAGGTTGTTTCTTACTCAAAGATACGAAAAGCAGCAATGGGACGTTTGTCAATAATGACCGATTGTCGAAAAGTGCGGAAGAAAGTTCCCCGCGACAGATATATTCCGGTGATATATTACAATTCGGTGTAGAAATTTCTGAAAACGCTAATAAAGGTATGGCATACATCATCACTAATTTTTATATTAAGCTTCACATCTCTATATAAAGATTTTAATCCAAGTTAAATAACTTGTTCTTGAGGATTACAAATTTAATTTTTTTAACCATTACGGCATCTCAGTGTTTCCCAACATCCTACAGAATTAAATGTTTTCAGTTACTCATGGTTGTATCTTGGCTATGATACGTCTTTATGATGCAAATGGTGAGGAGGCTTGTCCTCCGGATAATATGGAAATTAATGGATATTTAAGAGCTCATCATGGTAGTGATTCCCTGATGTTTCCACTGGTTGACTCTCATCAGCTCTTCCAGTTGCAGCACTACATGCGTGAAGCAATGTATCGGGAACGTGCACTGGAGCAAAAACTAACAATGCTAGAAAGTATTCTTTCTTCTACTGAGCAGGCGGCTGAGTCAGGCTGCCAGGTAATTATTACCGCTAAATTCTCAAGAGAAGAAAATAGGTAAAACGTTTTTAAAAGCAGCAAGGCTTGTTTTAGACTGTGACTAGGAAGGTCATTTTTCTAGCCCGAAGTTATCTCATTTTAGAATTGCTATTGAAATTTCCAGTTTCATCCGGAATTATATACTACGTAAAAAAATACGATTTTGATGTTGAAGTACATGAAATCCAGCGAAATGAAAAGTATTTGAGTTTCCTGCTAAAATCCAACTAAATCATTTTAATCATTTTACTATTACACTGTTTTAGGCGTTGATAAGCGAAGATCAGTTGTTGTCGCGGATCGAAATGTTGGAAGGACAGCTTGCATTGTATTCGAGAAATATTCTTAGCGAAAAGGTAAAAGAGCAAATGAGTGACTTACTTGTGGACAAAAACAAATTTGAATCGCTTGCGAAGGAATCGTTACGTAGAGCACAAGAAGAACGATGCGAGGCTTTGCTACGACTTGCTGATGTTGAAAGAAGCCTACTTAATGCTGGTATAAAATCTTTAATTTTGCAAGACTCGTAAAAGTAAGTACGGAAATTTGGATTCACAGGGGTGCGGTGATTATTTAGTAAAAAAGTTTTATGTTGTAGAAGAAGAGTCATCGGTTCTGAGACAGCGAGTTTCTGATCTGCAAAATGAACTTTCTGTGGCGGTGGATGCAAATAGTTTGCTTCGAGATCATGTCTCACAGTTAAAAAAGCAATTGAGAGCAATGGAAATTAAATATGGGGACTTGGAAAACAAAAATTTTCCGGTATGATTTTATTTGAAAAACTTTTCCTCTGTGTCCAAAAAAATCATATATCTGTATTTGAGATACTTTTGTGACTTGCTACCGATACGCCTTGTAGCATATATATACAAACTTCTGCCCGTTTTAGATAAATTTATTGTGCGATAAATCGCGGATAAAAGAAAAAGATAGACCAAAAATATCCGACTCGCAGTACCTGAATACATCACAAGGTGAAAATGGTAAGCGCATTGCTTATGTCAGCTCATCTAGGAGTTGGTCATTCTTTTGTTTTTAAATTAAATGTGGTACCGTCTTCTAGACCTACAAAGTAAATACAAGAGCTTTTAGGTTATGCAAAATTATACTTGTGTGATGAGAAGAGCCAAGCAATGCTGGAAGTGAGGTTAACGTCTTGTCGATCCAACTATGATTTTGGTGTAGGTTTAGAATTTTTAAATGTAGAAACTGTAGTCAAGCTGTCAGTAGTATATGTTTTTCTACTTTAAACAGTTTGAATAATACAAATGCAAAAAAAAATTGGATAAATACATCATCCGTAGAGTGCGATAACTGAATTATGTTGAGTCGCAGTTCAGCTGGTGATAGGTCCTCCATTTCAGGCTTTACTGCTATGTGCATTACCACTTTTTTCGGTGATGTTTGTTGTTTACAGTCTCGGAACGATGCTTAC